ATATTTCATGCAAGAACCCATCCTACGACTTTTCCCTTTCTACCATTCGGCCTAAAACACAATTCAATGGTTAAATCTCTTAACTATCATTACATCATTCCACAAGGACTAAACTGTGCCTTATTAAGGCCCAAAACCTTTACACAATCAACTTCCGGCCCACGACCCTGAAATAAGAAACGATAGGAAACAAGATGTTACAGGTCTCTTTTGTTAGTTCAAATTATGAAAATCTTCTGTAAATTTTGCTAAGATATAATTTATTTTAGATTGTATATTGTCAAATCTACAAATATAATACAATTTTCACTAATAAAATTGCTACATTTTCCAAAGTATAACGTTTCAATAATATAAAAAATGAAAGTGCATTGCCATGTTTTAGTAGATATTTTTAAGTACAATGTTTTAATAAGATAACAAAAAAGTTTTAAAAAAGTACAGTGGTTGAAATAGTAATAAAAATGACTGAAAGCATGATGATATAATTATAAGGGTTGAACCGAGGCTTCCTCTTTGTGTTAGCAGGCCGTTTAACAGTGTTTAGGAACCAACTGCCAACTAATTTGTAATTTTTATTATATGTGACTTGTTTATTGTGTTTAATGTCAAGTTTTGTGTTTGATTTTTTGACTGCGTAGATGCAACATAGAGTTAGGGATGCCATATGCAGGCATGACGAGTAAATCATTGGTATGAGAGGTCATCCCATAAGAGAAAAAATGACAATTGTGACACCTTTACAGGCCTTAATGCATTTTATATTTTAAATTATATTTTCTTTGTCCGCTTTTATTTAAGATTATTTGATTAAATTTTTAGCAATTCAACAATGTTTTTCATATTTTTTACCAAAATATGCAATAATGTTTTGCATTTTTATCAACGTATACTTGATTAGTTCCAAAGATGTTTCACCCCTTTAATGATTAATGCAACTTGCTACAATAAAAAGTGACCCATGGTTCACCACAATCTCACACATAGTTCGAATTTAACATACAACTAACTCCAAATCTATGATATCATTGTAATTGATTTTTTTTTCTATTAACAACTTTTTTTTGGAAAACCTTTTCAAATCGATGAAAATTCAAGGTTCTTCAAAGTTTAGAAACCTTTGTGGTTTCATATTTAAGTTATATTTTGGCTTGAAGATTATTATATTTAATCGTAAGTGTTCGAGTATTTTGTAAGTTGATCAATATTTTTCTTCCTACTAATAGAGTTTGGGAAGTCGAGATAGAAAATCTTGTGCACATGGCTTGAATCCACCTATAGTGTTTTAGTAAATCACATGGTCGTTGCCCGTTGGAGATGTAATGAATCCCGTCGAAATAAACTCACAGTATAGAATCCAACCATTTCATAACATTATGTTCGACTATTCTTTTCTTAAGTTTTTATATATATTAATTGTATCTTTGTAATTAGTTTTTTTTTTGAAACGCAGAATTATATTAATAATGTTATTGAAAAATTATTCTTTGAACTATTTTATAATTTACTTTTATACAAATAAAAATATTATGTTAATATTATAAACTTTGTTGAAGAGACGATCAAAAGTTTTTATTATTCACCATTAAAAGTTTCCGCCGAGTTATATTTATATTTAGGTGTAAGAACCTCGAGTAGTTAAAAATACCTAAATGGTTTGAATTGATACGAGCATATTATTAGTTTCTCGAGTTTGATTATTAAGTTTGAATTATTAATCGTTACAAATTATATTTAATTTCCTTTAAACAAACTTAATAATAATAAAAATAAAGTGAATTATGTGATGAGTATGTTATTCTATAGGGAAGTGATTCATACATAACAATTTTTATCCGTATACAACATTTTATGCTTAATAGAGTTGTACAATACAACATTTTAAATCACAAATTGTTATGTATGTAATTTTTATTGTGTACAAATCATCCCTATCTTATAATATGTCACATTTAAAGGCATTAATTAAGTTATTTAAAAGATCTAGATTATTAGATGTGATGCCTTAATTGTGTATTAGGCGAGAATGGTATCATATCTTTTTGTCTATATTATTAGTGTCATCTCAGTGTCACATCAATTTTATCATATTTTTATGGTTTCGTGCCATCCATAAAAATTGGACACTATGTCATGACACATTTTTTTTTAAACAATTCAATTTAAACAAAATAAGAGAAAGAGATAGCACAAAGACCGTGACATGCCACAACCGAGCTCAACACTAACCGCCCACCCAGAGCGGTGTGTGTAGTATCCATGCTGACATATTATGATTGATACCACGAACACTCTCATAAGCGTTATGACCCATGTCCATGACTCTTTTATAACATCACATATCCAACATTCTTTTATTTTTGAATAAATGTTTTTTTTAAACGACAAACTAACTAACCTACTCCTGAATGACCACCTATGTCTCCACCGAAACTTGAACTCATAACCTCTCATATAAGAGAGTCACTCCTTACTGCAAGACCATTAGCCCTTTGGTTTTTGTAAAGTTAGCTAATCATATCATTTTATTAAAGTAATTTATATTTTAAAAAAATATAATACTATTTCATATTTATAAAATATAGTTAGACAACTAATATAAGGCTGTTGGGTGTGGACCACATGTTATTACATGTTATCACACCCAAATTGTCCACCTCATCATCCTACTCACATTTTTGGTGTTATAACATCCAATGTGGAAATGAGCAACACCAAATAACATGTAAACACCTATCATTATTCATTTATTCATTTATTTTTTTTGATGTTAGTAATTTCCATTTTTCTATTTTGATGGATTTTTTTAATTTATGTCATAATAATTTTTAAAAAACGTATAAATTAAATAACACATAATTAAAATAAATACTAATTAAAAACTGCATTACAACGAAAAAAACATAAAATGACATTACAACGAAAAAAAAAACATAGACCGAAAAAAAAACATTGACAAAAAAAAAACATTACAACGAAAAAAAACAGTAATCTTCGTCTAAATATTTCTGCTCAATCTTCGCCTTCATTTTTCGGAGTGTCTCCAACCGTCTCGGTGGCAAATTCTCCTCGCTAGTTTGAAGAATTGCCAAATCTTTCGCAATGCGATCTTCCTCGGCTTCACAACGCAGGAACTCTAAATGATCCTGTTGCAACTTATATCTTTTACGTGTGATTTCGTTGTGCTCATCAAAATTTTGTTTCATTTTGGCTTGCTCTCGACGTCTACTTTCGGCTTCATCCGCATGTCGTTGAGCACGCCTCGCTTTGTCGCGGCCTATCGGTCGTCGAGGCGGGGAGATCTCTTCAAAGTCGTTCAAGTCGTCCGGTATCTCATCTGTGTCCGCATTGAGGTCGATGTTCGTGCGTGCGTCTGAAACATCAACTAAACCCGAGCCACGCGACCTCTTCGATTGTTGTTCCGTAAATGTGTTCGTTTTATTCCATTGTGGGTCTTCCTTGACAATCTACCAAATTTTTTCGTGCTAAAAAACGTGACTGGTCTCGACATGATATTGCTCCCTCGCCGCTCTATAAACGTCAAAATCGGTCGCACCCCTTTGCTTGTGCGAGGAAAGTTTGTTGTAGACGGAATTAAACTTGGTGCACTTCGTGCTTATTTGAGTCCATTTGCTACTCAACTTGTCGTGATTGCGGTACTTTTCATCTTTATTCAAAATGGTACGAAATTTCCCGATCACGGCTTCCCAAAAAGCAACTCTTCACATATCGTTTCCATGCGTTGGATTTTTTGATGTCCCGCACCAAGCCACCGCCAACGCGTATTCCTCCTCTGCGGTGCACCATGTTGGAGGTTCGTCTTCCGATTGCTCCACCGCAACCGCTTTCCCTTTCCTTCGTGCTCTCCCTTTTTGGGCCGTTTTTTCCCGCTCCCCCTGCTTGCGTCTCGGGTACAGTTTGTTTGGTGGGTTGTGGTTGTGTGGTATTTTGTTGCATTGTAGCAAATGGGTTGAAAAGGTTTTGTGGAATGGTTGCAGTGAATTGTGTTGGGGGTGAGACGAGATTGAAAAAGTTGCCTTGAGTGTTGAGGATGTTCGCGTACATTTCGTATTGTGCAAAACCAAGAGGCGGATGTGTATTTTTGTTTGGAGGAGGAATGTTGGGGTTTTGATCCATAGTAAGGAAAAGAGAATTTTTTTGAAGATTTGAAATTAAAAATGTTTGATATAGGATTGTAGATAAAAAAATAAAAGTTGATATATATATATATATATATATATATATATATATATATATATATATATGTGTGTGTGTGTGTGTGTGTGTGTGTTTGTGTGTCTGTGTGAAAGAGGTAAAAAGATTGAAAAAAAAATTATTTTTTTTTATGTTTTTGACCGTTTTACAACGGTTGAAAATAATAAAATGTGGCCGTTGCAAATTAAATTTCGATCGAAAAATGCCCGTTTGCACCTGTTATCACCGCAACGCCTAGTAACGTAACGCGGTATAACGGCTTAGGGGGCGGTGTGCCAGCCGTTATACCAGCGTTTTTTGATGGCCATGTCAACTTAACGCCAAAGGGCGTTGCTCACTCCGAGCGGTCTAACATTAAGTAGTTTTTTTGACTTGATAGTTGATTATTGGGTCAGCTTTAAGTGACTAAGACCCAATAAAAAATATATACAAGATTAGACCGAATAAAATCTTACGGTATAAAGATTTTAAATCTTACCGAGTAAAATCCAATTTCGAAACATATCAAAATCTTATTGAGGACCACTTTTTAATGTGACAATGTTTATGCACAGATGTCCGCCCATGACCCCCACACGGCTCGTTGAATGCAGCCGTCACTTTGTCATTCAATTCCTGTGATCTGATCGTTTCAAGTATGGAAGGAGGTCGTTGATTTCTTTTTTAACCTAACCCTTATCCAATTCCCCAAATACCATTTCAATTTTCATCTCTCTCAACAACATGTGTATGTGTATATATATCCTCCTCAATTATCACACAATTATTGTAATTTATTCTGTCATCTTCACCATAGAATTGCGTGCCCAACTTTCTATACTATTTATCTCTCTATTTTCCTTTTTCTTTACACACACGCGTGTATATGTATCTACATCAGATTCAGCCTTTCATATCGACCACCAATTGCCCCAAAACTGGAGATTGATTCTGTAATTGCTGTTTTATCTTTTACCTTCAACTGATTGACACTGTGATCGAGCTTCTGATTATTGGATGGAGGATTCAAACTCGATCGCTGGTCGACGCCTTACTGCAATTCACAGCCATCTTCTTACGTCAACCGACAATACCCACTCTCAGATTGAAACCAATAGCACTGCCGGAGAATTCTTTGATGGTAATCATCTGATTCTGTTCTATGTTTTCCAAGTATCAGATGAATAATAGTACCTTTTCTTTTTCACCTTAACTACTGTAGTAGTCAAATGATATTGGCAAGTAAATATAAAACAGTTTCTGCTTATGTAATTAGATATCTTTATGTAACAGTTTTCTGCTGTCCTGCTATGTTAATTAGACATCTCATTCTAAAACCTTCTTTTATCTTTCCGCTTATGTAGACAAGCACCTCTTCCCTAATTTCCCTGTTGTATTTTTCACATTAACTACTGTACAAGTCAAATCATATAGGCAAGCAGCATGTTAAATTGGAAACATAGGTATATATTCTTAAGACTTGAATTATTGAGGCAAGTAGTACAAAGTGGTCTTGAAACAGTTTATTAAGTAAATTAAGAACTTTATGTCAAGTCAATGAAGAACTTCATAGATTTTTTTACTAAAGTTATCTCATGATCTGAAGTGCCACACACAAAGTGACTCAATAAACATAAGTTTCTAAATGATGTTTAATCACACATTCATGAATATGCTGCAGAGCAAAGATACAGTGTTGTTCTTCCAGAGAAATTGAAGGAAGGAAAATGGAATGTATACAGGTGGATAGATATATTTTATTTCAGTCAATAATCTTTCAGTTTTATAGTTTTATCTTATTTTTTCTATGTTGGTATAACTGGCTTCTTACAAAGCTGATTCCTCCTGGCAGATCTGCACGCTCTCCATTGAAGCTTCTTACCAGATTTCCTGATCATCCTGATATTGAAACATTGCATGACAGCTTTGTGTGAGCATCTTAATCATCTTCACTAAGAACACTTCTTGATAATTTGTCGCCCCTTTATGATAGTTTCTCATGTTTTACTAGTTGTACTTAGATTAAATGGCTAAATGCATGAAATAGCAACATACTTTCATTTATCTATGTTTTATAGCATCCTACTTCTATTTCTTTCTATTACAGCATTGTATATTCAGTATATTTCTTATCAAGATACTGTACTTTGAAAATCCACCCAATTATAGCATTGTGCTTTCATTTTTTCTTCTTATTAGGACATTATAATTTGAAAATCTACAAAACGATCATTAAAAATTGCTTTGTAGGGTGGAATTGCTATAATTAGGTAGATTTTTCAAACTACAATGCTGTAATAGGAAAAAAAACATGAAAGTATGATGCTATAAGCAACACTTTCTATTACAACATTGTACTTTCAGTATACTTGTTATTAAGGCATTGTCCTTTCAACTTTTTTTTCCCCATATAAGACATTATACTTTGAAAAATCTTAGTAATAGCAGTGAAAATTGTTTTGTGTTTGGATTGTGTTGCTATAATTGGGTAGATTTTTCATCACAATGTTGTTATATAGGAAGAATTAATAACTGATTCTTAACCTTATTTGTAATCTTGAAACGAATTTCACATTAAGTGATAATATGTTTTCAGATATGCAGTTGATACATACCCAGATTACAAGTACTTGGGTTCACGTGTACGAGTAGATGGAACAGTTGGCGAGTAAGTCTACTTATAAATTTTAACAAACTTCCATTCCATGTTGACCAGAGTAGACTAATTGCACATTAAGACTCATATTAACATGCTTGACTGACTTGTACCTTAAGGTACAAGTGGATGACATATGGAGAAACAGCCACTGCTCGTTCTGCAATAGGATCTGGCCTGCAGTATTATGGATTATCAAAAGTGAGTTCAGTTTTCTGTTTTTTTCTCCATCTCTTCTAACATGCGTTGCTCAAGTATGTTACTTAAATGCAAGAAATAGCTTCTTACTTTCATTTATATGTGTATTATAGCATCCCACTATCATCTCTTTCTATTACAACGTTATACTTTCAATTTTTTCTTATCAAGACATTAATTATACTTCACAAAATCTACCCATTTTCTTATTAAGACATTATACTTTGACATTGATACAATTTGGTAGAATCTTCAAAATACATTGTTCTGAATAAGAATAAATGAAAGTAGGATGCTATAATCAACAAATGGATGAAAGTATGTTGTTATTTCTTGCATTTAACCATAAAAGAATGTGAAATTGCTCTAACAGCCATATGATTTGGGTTGTTTTGGAGCAGGGAGCATGCATTGGACTTTATTTGATAAATAGACCAGAGTGGATGGTTGCAGATCATGCATGTTCAGCATATTCATATGTTTCTGTGCCTTTATATGACACTCTTGGTGTGTAAGTGTGGTGTCATAAGTTTTTTTTATAGGATGTAAGATCTCTAGTGTGTTCCTAATACTTGATTTTCAGGTCCTGATGCTGTTAAGTATATCATAAATCATGCTGATTTACAGGCGGTTTTTTGTGTGCCAAGTACATTGAACATCGTAAGTCACTTGAAAATAAAAAAAAAAAGTTATTTGAATAAAGATCGAAAAGGAGAAGTTGTGAAAAAAAATATTCTTATAGAATCGAGGCTTACAATCTTTTCTCAACTTGCAGTTGTTGAGCTTCTTATCTGAGATTAGTAGTGTACGTGTAATAGTGGTATGTTCTCAAACCTCTTTTTAGCCACAAAGAATTTATACAGAAATGATGTTGCTTGCTTTATTATAAAATTCTTTTCTTGTTGTGATATCCATTTTTCAGGTAGTAGGAGGGGTAGAAGAACACCTTCCCTCTCTTCCGCAAACATCCGGTGTGAAACTTGTATCTTATTCAAAACTCTTCAGTCAGGTTGGTTGAATTAAGGACTCTTAATTGTTTTATCAACTCGGTATTTTAGGAAGTTAAAAAACTCTAATTTCAGTTGAAAAAGGAGGAAATCGCTAAGCATCAATACTCTTCTATAAGGAGAAGTTAATACTTCCTAGTAGCTTAAATTGATGTGCACCTTTATAATATAAATTTCTCCTAATAATTAATAATCTTGTAGGGTCATAATAATCTTAAACCTTTTTGCCCTCCAAAGTCTGAAGACATTGCAACCATATGCTACACAAGTGGTACTACTGGAACACCAAAGGTAGTAGCATTAAGCATGTCAATTTTTACTTATAAATTTATAAATTTATAAAATCTATTTATATATATTAAATTTATGTATTTTTGATGTGTGTAGGGTGTGGTTCTGACACATGGGAACTTGATTGCAAGTGTCGCAGCTATGACCTTGTCAATTAAATTCAACTCCACAGACATGTGTGTTTCTCTTTTAGGTTTAAATGCATGAAATAGTAACATACTTTCATAAATTTATTTATTAACTATCATAGCATCCTTCTTCCATTGCTTCGTTTTACAAAATTGAAAAATCCACCCAGTTATAGCAATTTTCACTGTTACACTCTAGTAGATTTTTCAAAGTAGAAAGAAATCAAAGTAAGATGCTCTACTAAACAAATAAATGAAATTATGTTGCTGTTTCTTGCATTTTTAGCCCTTGTCTTTTATTCCCAAATTTAATGATTATGCTCATACTTTGTGTTAAATATTTGAATGGACAGTTACATATCTTATCTTCCACTGGCACATATCTATGAGAGAGCTAACCAAATTATGTTGTCATACTGTGGTGTTGCTGTTGGTTTTTACCAAGGGGTATGTACTATTTACGATTATACATGTGGCTTGCTTTAATTATTAGAATTCAATGGAAACTACTATTTTTTTTTTTTTCACATAATCAATAAATTAACATATCTCAAAGAAGCATTGAATTTAAGATGCCTGGTTGCATGTCAAACTGGTAATATGGATTAGAGTAAATTACATTTTTGGTTCCTTTGTATAGCTGATTTTTGCAATTTTGGTCCCAGTAACTTCTCTTGCAGTTTTGGTCCGTGTTCCAAGTGAAATGAGTATATTACCCTTTTCTGATTTTTTTTTTCTTTTAATTATTTGATCAAAAATTCAAATAAAGGGTGGTAGAGTAGTCATTTTGCTTGGAACAAGGACCAAAATTGTTAAGATAGATCAATATAAGGACCAAAATTGCAAGAGAATTTTGTGGGAGCACAATAAACAGACCCAAAAACAACGGTTTGTCTGATATTAGTTTCTGTTTTGTGCAGGACAATTTGAAATTGATGGATGACTTGGCAGTTCTAAGACCAACACTTTTCTGTAGTGTACCTCGTCTCTACAATAGAATATATGCTGGGTAGAGCCATTTCTAAAATCTAAATAAACTTTTTTCTTTTTTTTTTTAGTAAAAAATATCCTTAACATTTGTGGGTCTGTTTTTGTGTAGGATCATGAATGCTGTAAACACTTCTGGGGTTTTAAAGCACAGACTATTTACTGCTGCATACAATTCTAAGAAACAGGCGATAATGACGGGTATACCCTTGTTTATACACAGATTGAAAGTTTGTGTTAGATCTTGTTCATTAGGCTTCGTTTGTTAGACGGGACAAGACTGGACAACCTTAGTAGGGATATTTTCAATGATAAGGATGTGGAGGGTATTTACGTCTTATGGTAATTATTGTATGTGTCTGTTGTAGGTCGAAAGCCATCACCAATTTGGGACAGATTGGTATTCAACAAAATAAAAGCAAAAATTGGAGGACGTGTCCGTTTCATGGGCTCAGGTGCTTCGCCTTTATCTCCTGATATCATGGACTTTTTAAGGGTGTAAGTTAATCATCATCTACTCTACTTATAATAAACAACACACTCTTTCGCCTTTTTATATGTCATCAAGCTATCTTTTTAGGGACATTTTCGTCTTTTGTTTTGTGCAGATGCTTTGGATGTTCAGTTATTGAAGGGTATGGTATGACGGAAAGCTGCAGCGTCATAACAATCATGGATGATGGTGATAACTTGTCTGGTCATGTTGGTTCTCCTAATCCTGCATGTGGTGAGTTTTTTTCTTTTTTTAGGAAGGTTTAAATGCAAGAAATAGCAATGTACTTTTATTTATTTTTTTTACATCTTACTTAGTTTCATTTCTTTCTATTGCAACATTGTATGTTTAAAGATAGAGTTTTTATAATTACTTTTAGCACTTAAAACATGTCATGCATGCTTTCATGTTTAAATTCAAATATTATTTTCCATAATTAAGGGTTTTAGAAAAATTAGCCTTATTGGTCCTTTTTCTGATACAATTAACCTTTTAAACCTTGAAGAAAATGACACGATTCAGTTTTTTGAATTTCCACATGTCATCGTTTTTTCATCATTTAACTGATTTTGTATAAACAAACTATTAAGCAGAATCTGTTGTGTCCTAACATTATGTTTCTTTTTGAAGAGATAAAACTTGATGATGTACCTGAGATGAATTACACCTCTGATGATCAGCCTCATCCTCGTGGAGAAATCTGTGTTCGTGGGCCCATCATCTTTCAAGGCTACTACAAAGATGAAGTCCAGACGTCTGTCACTAACATAATTTCTTTTTTATTTTTATAAAAAAAAAAAAAAAATCTGTTGATTCAACTGATATGATCTTTTCACATAATTGAGCAGAAGAGAAGTACTCGATGATGAAGGCTGGCTTCACACAGGGGACATTGGATTGTGGTTACCCGGAGGACGCCTTAAGATTATTGACAGGTATGTATTTATTGAGAAACTCCAGGGGCATTTTGGTCTTTTTTTTAACAAAATAAGAATAAATATTCTTTGATTTGTGACAACACAGGAAAAAGAACATATTTAAGCTGGCACAAGGCGAGTATATAGCACCTGATAAAATTGAAAATGTATATGCCAAGTGTAGGTTTATTAGCCAGAGTTTCATATATGGTAAGGACTAAGGACACTGATTTTTAAATAATAATATTAATAAACACCATTTTGCTTTATTAATTAAACACATAGTATTAATCTAAATAAATATAACCTGCTGCCTGACTGTTTTTGTGTGATTAGGTGATAGCTTCAACTCATCTTTGGTGGCTATCATCTCGGTTGATCCGGATGTAATGAAGGATTGGGCTGCATCTCAGGGCATAAAGGTACTCTAACAAGGGTAGAATGGTCATTCACTCTAAAACAGAAGGGTTAAATTGTCAATTTCACACATCATATTATTCAGCATCACTTCTAAACTGTTCTCAAGTAAACTCTCATTTGTGTTATTCACAACACTTTTAAACGTAAGGGTAAAACGGTCATTTACTCTAAAATACAAGGGTAACAAATGGTCATTTACTCACATAGTCAGTAATTTGTTGTGCAGCATTACTTCTAAACAGAAGGGTAAAATGGTAATTTCCTACAAAAAGAATGATAAAATGGTCATTTATTGACATAAACAGTCATTTGTTATTCAGCATCATTTCTGAACAGTTGTCAAATAAAGAAACAGTCATTTGTCAGTCACTTGTGAACAGAAGGGTAAAATGGTCATTTACGCATATTCAGACAGTTCTTTCAGTCCATCATCATTTAATCATATGTTATTATTATTATTTATTTTTTTCCGTTAAATAAGGTTTTATGGGGTGTGTGTGTGTAGTATAATGATTTGGGACAACTATGCAATGATCCAAGGGCAAAAGCAGCTGTTTTGGCTGAGATGGATGTTGTAGCAAGGGAAGCTCAGGTGATCTTTTAAATATGACAACCACTTTTACTTTAATTTTTATATTTTCTTCAACAAACACTAATTTTTTATTTTAGCTGAGAGGTTTTGAGTTTGCAAAAGCTGTTACCTTAGTGGCTGAACCATTTAGTGTGGAAAATGGCCTTCTTACCCCTACGTTCAAGGTACCCACCCACCTACCTCTATTGTTCTCAATAATAAGCAAAGTACTTCGTTAACCAAATAATAGCAACATATTTGATTTTTTTTTTTTTTTTTTTAATATTATGGGTTCTAGTAAGGAAGAGTAAATTGGTTGCTATTATTAGTAAGAAATTGTAAGAAGGTGGTTGCTTAAAAGGAGTGAAATTGTGGATTTGTTTCAGGTGAAGAGACCACAGGCAAAGGCCTACTTTGCAAAGGAAATATCAAACATGTATGCGGAGCTTTCAGCTATGGATCCCACTCTTCATAAGCCATTATGAGTGCTCCTTCCTTAGTTCCATACAAATTGTTGTTATTGTAAGGTTAAATTGTTGAATTCGACATTTAAAACACCAAATTATAAAAAACATTTTTACAGTATCTTCAATCTTGCCTTGGCCTTTGTCCCGTAAGTCTCTCAAGGATCAACTAAATAAATAAGTATAAGTCCTTATTTATGGTCTTTCCATTCTTTCATGCTTGTGTTAGCAGTTAAGGATGCGAGAATATCAGCAGGCTCAACATTATCTTTTTTTAGTTATGGGTACATGTGATTTACCTTTTCACAATATTTTTGTTTGACCAGAAAAAATAAAAATTTAAGGCTCAGTTGTACAAAATTGATTGTGTAAAATAGTTGCAATCTATATTTACCGGAATTTATGGCGATTAATTTATGCAACCAATTTCGGAGTTTAGCATGTAATCTTAAGGAAGAATAAATACATTTAGGTTGATATAGAAAAAACATCATAAATGGTCCCTGTGGTTACCCAAAATCTGAAGTTTAGTCCTCGTGGTTTAAAAACCTCATAGATGGTCCCTGTGATGTTTGGTCCTTTTTGCTAACTCCGTTAAGTTTGTCCGTTAACTGAAGGGTATTTTCGTCATTTCACCACCACAGGGACCATTTATGATGTTTTCTCGTATTTTTTAAAAAAAGAAAAATTTAAACATAATTAAATATATAAAAGCTCTCTCTCTCTCTCTCTCTCTCCAAACACATACATACACTAGATCCCCACTATTCTTCCCCAGCCTAACCATTCACCTTCATCGATCCTTGCTTCCCAATCTAATCATCCATCTCAATCTGGTGAACCAAACCTCCCACCATTTCCGTTTCCGGTTCCCACCTCCTCCGATAACTCCATCGCCTCTAATATCCAGTGACCCCGTCTGAAAGCTTCACCGCTTCCCCATCATTGCTCGCCGGATATCAGAGCATCATCAGAAATCTCTCTTCATCCTCACCGAATTTCAAGTCGGAAGCCTCTCTTCATCCCACTAGATTTCAATCTGGAAACCACTTAACTCTCTTCATCCCCACCGGAAAAACCTCCCAAGATACCAAATGTTTTTGTGGCGGTTGTTCTGTCTGGTGGTGTTGTGAATCTGATGGCTAATGGTATCGGTGGTGGAGGGTTTATGGTTGTTCGATCTGTGTATATGTTGGAAACCCTAGCATTTGATTTCAGGGAAACTGCTTCGGCGGCTTCCAAACAAGTTTAATCGATTTCATTCAATGGGGGGTTTTGCCTAATTTTGTTTTCGACTCGTTGAAGCACTGATCTCTGATTTCTTACATTTTTTGCATCTGATAATTTTGAAGGTCTATGTTCTAGTGTAGTTGATGGACTGTGATTGGTTTAATGAATGGGATGGTTGTTTTTGCTCATTATTGATTGGGTATTCACATGGGAGAAAAAATGAACAATTTCAATGAAGAAGATGAAGAATACGATATTAGTAAATATAATGGCGGTGGTGAAGGTTATGTGGTGGTTTGGCAGGTGGAAGTTAACGATGACGATGGTGTTTTGTAGTGCTGGAATGGAGAAATAAGGGTGGTGATTTTGGTCTAATGATAGCAGTGGTGATGGTGGATGGTGGTGGCAATGGTGGTGTACGAGAGAGAGAGAGAGAGAGAGAGAGAGAGAGAGACCTTGGATATTAAATTTAATTTTTAAAAAATAAATAAATAAAAGAAAGGAAAACCTCATAAAAGGTCCCTGGATAGGTAAATGACGGAAATACCCTTCATTTAACGGTGGAAAGTTAACAGAGTTAGCAAAAAGGACCAAACATCAAAAGTTTTGAAAGCATAGGGACCATCTATGACGTTTTTAAACCACAGGGATTAAACTTCAGATTTTGGGAAACCACAGGGACCATTTATGATGTTTTTTCGTTGATATATATATATATATATATATATATATATATATATATATATATATATATATATATATAAACTAGACAAACTTCGTGTGTATGTTTTTACAGAAAATTATATAAAAGTTCTGGAAGTTTTTTGGTTTAACCACTGAAAAATATTTTTATGATTTGAGAACGAATTTTCAATTTTTTTTGTGTAGAAAACAACTATATCGAATTTTAAATTTTATAAAAATCACTGTAGTTCGGTTTGATTGTTTTAGTCACATGAATATTTTCTTTTATCATTTAGCCTTTAAAATTTCCTTTCCAAAAAAAAAAAAAGAACTTTTACCATGAAAATATTACTCCCATAGTTTTCTACAATTCATTACCAGAAAAACTCTTTTAGTGGATTCTTTTTATATAAAAACAAAATGAGTGGTTAAACCATAACTTTCCTTTTGATCTTTTGATGGTTAAAGAAAAAAATCAACTTGTAGTAACTTTTATGGAATTTGGTCTATATATATAACGTCAAGGTGTAATGACCATGACACATTTTTAAAAGTAATGTTGAAAACTAATCATCCTACAATATTACTATATCTTTTCGAAGTTGTTACATGAATGTTACCATAATAAATTTGCTATTTGATTCGTTAACGAGTTTAAATGTGCCATGTGTCGATCTTGTTGCCTCAAGAAAAATCTCAAGCCCATATAGTAAGTAAACTACGTGGTCCCGGAAAAATTTCACTTTTATGTAATAATATTTTCCTGCAGGGACCGGACAAATTTCTATTTGTGCTCAACTCGGATGGTGATTTTACAGCAGAGTCAGCTAGGAGACTTGTGGATTCAAAAGTCGCTTGTAGAGGTGGTAATACGATAGAGTGGCTAAAAACGGTTCCTCTAAAAGTGTCGTGTTTTGTATGGAGAAAAAAATTGGATAGAATTCCGGTAGTTGATACCCTTGCAAAAAGAGGAGTTCAAATTCCTTCAAACTATTGCAAGCTTTGCGTCAGCTTTGCGACGCAGGTGAGGAAAAGATAGACCATGTACTCACCAGATGTTCTTTCGCTTTGACAGTACTTGAATGGCTCTTTAAATGGTGTCGAATTCCTCAAAAAGAATTTACAAGTGTGGCTGAACTATTGGACTTTGGTGCAAGATGGGGTAATTTGTCCAAGGAAGCGTAAGACGCTACTCACAATACTATATTGTCTTATCTGGCGAATATGGAATGCGAGAAACAATAAAATATACAACAATCTGATACCACCCCCCACCATGGTAGCTGACGAAGTAATTTCATTGGCGTATTCTTGACATAAATATAGGGGAAACCATGAAAATTGTAAATGGATTGATTGATGTTGTTCTCCGTTTCTTTGTTGTAATATGTAACTGTAAACTTGTTTCTTGGCCCGACTAGTTACTTGCTAAGTCTCGGTGGCCTTTTAAATTTTATTCGCCGCTTCCAAAAAAACGTTGCCCCGGAGATCAAAATTCAAAAGGTGTTGAAGTATTTGTCGGCAACATAATTGTTTTATCTCAACCTCTTTTGTCAAGCCATCCAAAAGATTTAATTCGCTATTTATTACTCATAAAGTAGGTTTAATTGCAAAATATGGATAAAAGGGTAACTTGTAAAAATGGTCCCATGTTTTCTATTTTTGATATGTCAGATTTGAAATCTCTTTTTTCAAAGTTTGAAAAAATTTCATATTTGATGTTGGTCCTTGAAATCTTGATATAAAGAACTAGTGGATATGAAATATTGAATAAGAATCACACTCATAACCCCGGGGACCAAAATTGATACAAAATCTTGAAATAAGAATTAAAATGAAAAAAAAATCACTTTTGGACCAAACAAGGTGACAATAAGAAAGGGGGCAATTTTTGTAATTTGCTCTCGATAAAGATTTGATATATTTTTTAAAAATTATTCACATGTTATAACAATAATGGTAAGAAAATTACTTGCGACAATTATGGAGCCTAACGAAAGTGTAATTGGGTATTATTTATGACACATTTGTTATTTTGATTAAAACCCTAAGGCTATACGGAAGTGACTTTACATAGTCATGCGGAAGCGAAGGAGCTACACCGCCCCCATGCATCATGAGTGTAAGGCTTCGTCAGTGCTGCTACGCTTCAATACAAGGAAGAAAGAAATATATAAAAAAAATCATATGACGGTTTGACAATTTTTCAAAAAAAATAAATAAATAAATAAAAGAGAGAATTACACGAATGGTTCCTATGGTTTAGTATAAATTGCACGCTTGGTCCCTAAGTTATTTTTTTTAACTCGGACTATCCTCATGTTTTAATTCTGTAAGGTGACTAGTCCCTGTTATAAGATTTCATCAATTTTTTCTATTAGACACCTCACGTGCCTTGCATGCTGGGGATATATTTGACCTTTTATATTTGCAATGTTTTATCGCCAAGAGATAAGATGAATCGTTTATAACATTCACACTATATCGCTATATCGGACATAAAACCTTCACACACCCCGATTGAAAAGCCTTGATCGAGAAAACCCTAAACGTGAAACACTACACTTGAAGACGACGATGACACCTTAGAGGATATGTGCTACCATGGATGAGAGGATATGTGCTACCATGGACGAGATTGACGTTTCTCGTAGATATGGTAAGTGTTCATAATTTCCATCAATATGTTAGTAATTTAAATGATTGATCTTTCCCTTCAATCTATAGTCGGACATCCTACGATATTCTCTATCAGATTACACCATGGTGGAGAGTTTACACAGTTCCCTGGAAGAAGGTACATCAAAGGCAAGCAAAAGTACGTTGATTTGCTTGACTTTTTCCATTCACGACATTGACGAGATGATGGAGGAACTTGGGCATATTGATTCAGACGTTAAGCTACTCTACTATCATTTTCTGAGACCATTTGGCGATTTGGATATTGGTTTATTTGCTTTCGGTTCTGATCAGGATGTTCACCATTTGGGTACGTATGTTGGTAACCATAAGCTAATAGACATATATACTGAGCATAGGAAAACAAATTTACATACATATTTTATGTCCCCTAATCCTAGTAAGTGAATTGTTGAAAATGAAGAACCTCCAGCTTTCTCACGCCAAGCTTCTCAAAATAAACCGAGTTCAAACAAATCGAACTCACGCTTCAAGGGTGAGTGCTTACGACCCCCTTTTAATGATTTT